GCAAGTTCTGTAACGCAGTTGTTGTTCCAGTGTTTTGATTAATCCCAGACATTATATCCACATCACACGCCACATGCCCAATGTCGTCAGTCGGGGTCACATGAGTATCCATCCCTCGTAACTCTGTCTTCTCATTCACATTAGATGGAGACGACGTTGATAATGGCATAATGTCAAGTATGTTTGCCTCACAGTGGTACATGTCGTGATTACTTTGCTTCATCTCCTGTACACCAGTAGCTGTTTGGGTGTATTCATACACTGCGTACTCCTCCAACTGTTCCATAAGCTTCGCGTTTTTGCCGTTAAGCTCATCCACTAGTTACTTCATCCTTTCAATGTCACATTCCTTCTGGTTATTGGTCAGTGTGATTTCATGTGATAATTTCCTACATTTTTCTTCGTATGATGCCCTAATTATTGATAGTTGTGTCTCTAAAGCAAATATGACATCAAATTTACAGCGGAGTTCTATCTCGAGCACACCAATTTTATCTAATGCTTTCTGGTATTCTTCAACGTAGATGCACACTGTCCACAATGACCATTACTATCAGCACCACCTCTGTTGACATCCCTTTCATTTTGTACATTTTGCTTTACGTTGTCCAGTCCATGGACACTAATACCATTAATTGAACCCAAAATAATTCCATCTACAATTATCCCAGTAGTCGACCCCATGTTCCCACCAACTCCACTGCGATACGAACATTCGGCATTTGCTCCAATTTCCTTGACACCTTTCGCCTTCGTGATGCTCCGTTCAGAATGACTCATGTGCAGCTCTCCTACCACAACCTGTAAACAAAATAAAAAATAAAGATCACAAATAGTAATTGTCACATCTAATATTTACGCTAATAGTACATAAGTTCATACTTCAACATCATGCGGCTGATCGATGTCCACTACTCTTATCTTTGTGACCAACTTGCTGATGTTCCATTTCATAAGCCTCAAAAATCCATCTCCACAATCTGCTTGTATCAAGTTGGTGTGCTCACATATCTAAAACTGTGTAACCATGGGTTAAAAAAATAAGTTGTCAAATTTATTCGAAACAAATACACGTACAAAAGCTACCAAACAAAATCAAAATTATAATGTGGGAAAAACAAAAAATCAGAGCACTTACAAGCAGGGCAATTACATATCCAGTAACTTTCTCAAGCTTAGAGTAAAATCCATTAATTGACTCCATCAAAGTTGCGTAGATTGCTCCAGCCCAATCATATGCTTTTATGTTCTCTAGATCCTCAACAACAGACAAACCCCCATCTCACGGTCTCGCCCGAAGTGGCAAAGAATAACTTTCCACATAAGTGCAAATACAGTAACTTTGTAACATCCTGGCGGTCCTGACTAGTGTTCCCAAGTAATGCATCCATTAACAGTTCCTTAATAGTATTCAAGTTTATGCGTACTATGTTTGGACACCTTCATTGGATGAAGTCAGTCGGAAGTCTTGGCCCATGTGACACATCTAAACTCTTCTTGCCACCATGAATTCCAAATATTAGTTGCATATCAATGCTCGTCAACTCAATGTGTTTACCACCAATTATGAAAGTAGACTTTTCTGGAACAAATGTTTAAATGATCCTCATTACAATGTTATTGCATTTTTGGAATTCATATTGGTTTAGATCAGTTTTTCACATTGCATCCAACAGAAACCAAAACGGTGTTTTCTGAAGATGATGCAATTGCTTATCTTTCAGATTTGACGCTGTCACCAGGTTCACAATTCCAGTGATGTTGAAACGGTAGCAAAATCTTGGTTGTTTGGTCAGTGGTTATTGAGGCTCATATTTCAGCTTCTTTCTTTTTCGAACAGTGCTTTGCCCTACTGCGTTCACATTCCATGACGGAGTTTGACACCGTCGTCTTTTACCAGATGTAGTCTCTTCATAGATGTTCACTTTCGCCTTGTAACCCTTTTGTGATGTACCTTTAATTGTTTCTCTTGAAAAACATGCCACAAATATTTCACATTTGGTATACAAACAAGTTGCCACTAATAACTTATGTGAATATGTAAATTAATAGCAATATGTAACTATATATGTTAGTATGTTCCTCGTGAATATTAGAATGTGGTACGATAACGGCCCTGTTTGGTGTAGCTGTTAAAACAACTTATAGATTATAGCTTAACAGATTATAGATTATGACTTTAATTAGAAGTTGTTAATCTGTTTGGTGTAGTTGTTGGATTATAGATTTAAGTTGCTGGGTAGTGTTTGTTAAATAAGCTGTAAAATAGCTTTTTCAATTAATTTTTATTTTTTGTTTGTCTACATTTCTCATAAAAAATAATAATAATAATCTATAGTCCATTTGAGTCTTTTTCTATTTTTAAAAAAATAAAAAATAAAAAAATTTAAGAGTATAACCATAAATTAACATGTCCACAGCAGAAGCTGATAATCAGAAGCAAGGGGTGAGCAGCTTCTCAGAATCAGCTTTTTTGAGTTAAAATAAGCTGTTAGAATCAGAAGCTGTTTGAAATAAATTTAACCAAACAGTCCAAAATAACTTTTTCAAAGCTAAAAGCCAAAAGTTGGCTCTGAAAAGCTGAAACAAACACCCTCAACATGTGGTTGTACACGTATTCAATTCAAACCCATTCACATACCCACACCGTACATTGACATCATTATAATTGGATGACAATACAACATGTGAAGACCACAACATCCTCTACGTATGCCTCAACAATTGTGTTTACTTCATTCACTAAACGTTAAAATTAATTACAACATTTTCACCTTCCATTACGCTTTACTCGTGTTAGTTTGACATGCCTTTTTTGAGTAGACACCATTTAATTCACATCATTCTTTAGTATGAATGTACTTATAAATCATGTAAACATAATCCAAATGACAGAATAACATTGTGATTCGAAGCACAACAACACTGTTGGTTCATTACAACAGATTAAAAAAAAAAAAACATGGGGGTTAGCGTCTTCAGCCCAAAACATAACATCTAGCATAACGTGGCGCATGCCATTTTATCAACTAATGTCACAATAAAAGCCATACTGTAAAATGAGTCAATTTCCATGTAACACACCCCGAACACGAACGTGACAACATTTAAAGGACATGTGCATGTGCCACTTTGTGCATGTGCTGTTGTATCCTAAATATTTAGTTGCACATTCACAGTTCAAATATGTAATTTGTTTCCCTCGAATTCCAATAGACATTATAACGAAAATTACTGTCACACAATTCAGAAATTTAGAAGTAATTACGCACCCACATACACGACCATGGTTCAAATGTGACTGTGAAGTACTCAACGTAACCATGAATAATGCCACACATGCCGATTAATGCGGTAATCTGAACCAAAAAATAAACAAATATGTGCTACGTGAAGCTTGATAACCAAAACCACTACAAACACGAACGTGACCTCTTCACATGCTGACATGAAACCATAACCACACACCCCAAATCATGTTACTTTCGTTGTTCCTCTCCATGTCACAATCTACAAACACTGTCCCTCGAATATCTTAAAGTACATCAAAATAGGACGTGACACCAACCACGTTCGATAACTTACTTTTATATCTAAATGAAAACAACCAAACGACACCGTACCACAACGTTGCACTATACACACAGTCCAACAAACATGTGCTTCCACTCACATTCAATAGTAATTTAACATTGGGTCACAATCACATTCATTAACTGTATAACACATAGCACAAAGACGTGGCACCATTCATATCCAACAACTGATTTTTTAAAGTTAATGCGCAGAACCAAACGGCATCGAACCACAACGAGAAACCCCCAAAAACAGTCTACCAAACACGATACTTTGCATGGATCGAAAAAAAACAAAAACAAATAGGCCACGTACTAGGCAATACAACAAGGAATCAAGCACAAAACACGCACACTGGACAACCCGCCTAACCCCCATCCTACAACCCCCACATACATACTATTTTCAAATCGGAAACTGTAAAATCCTTTTGTTCCTCACAAAACTCACAAAACATACAAGTAACATAACATATTATAACTAAAGTTTACCGAAATTATCAAAACCCCATATTCACATAAGCCTTAGTTCTGGGTTGTTAATCAAAATCAAATGAATGAACATTGCAAAATAGGGGCAAATCCACACTTACGTTTTGGAGCCATCATTCCTCATTGTTCATCGGAAACGGTATTTCGTTAGCACATTCTCGTCGAGCGTATCGGTCGAATCACGCCCCTTCTCTTGTTCGTGGTGGGTTTCGAAATGTTATCAACTGAATCAGCCGTTCACATTAATGTAGAGCCACAAAACATATCTACTTCTTTTTTATCCCTAAAATTTTGCCTAAGTGAACCTGTAATTTCCACAAATTATGTGTATTTTGAATTTTAAAATCACATTTACATGAATATAATCTATGGTAGTATTCAATTTCTTATATATGATTTTTATATTATTTATGATATTAACAACTACTAATAAGGGTAAATGTGTCAAGTAACTTCTCATAGGAACATAAATTTTTGCTTAGGACCATATGTAACATAAGACTCCAAAATAAGATTTATAAATAATTCTCCCTTTATTTTAATTGATAAAAAAAGTATTTTAATCATTAAAATGAATATAAATATACAAAAAATGTCTAAATACCTATTTTAATTGAGTAATGACCAGAATATTTATTTTTTATTAATTTTACTTAACAAAAATAAATAAATAATTGAGATGAAAAACAAATCAAAATTTAAAATTTAAATTGATAAAATAAAAAAACTCAATTTAGTTTGATATAAGAGTTAAATTCAGATTTTAAAAAAAAAATTAAAATACATTCTCTTTTCATTAATTTATTTAATTTTTTCTCACTATTTTTTTTCTCCAATTTAATTTATTTAATTTTTTCCCACTATTTTTTTTCTCCAATTTAAGCTAGGACAGTCTCTCACACTGCCCAACAAGTACTACCCAATAACCCAATCCAAAAAAAAAAAAAAACCTAAATCAGACACGTAATAAAAGTCACAAACTCAGAACTCAGAGAGAGACAGAGAGAGTAATTTCACATTCAGATTTCATTAATGTCAACACGAACTCATCATCTTCATCTTCCTCAAATCTTCCATCTCTCTCTTTCTCTCTCTCATCACTGACTCCACTCCATCATCCCAATGGGCCGCAACTCAGCGAGTCCCGACCACGATTCCTCCGGCGACGACGACACTTTCCCCGCCTCCGCCGGCGGTGGCGGCGGCAAAGGCGGCGGCCTAGGGCTCCGCTCGATCCGCGACCGCATTCGCTTCAAGCGCAACCCTAACCCCTCCACCACAACCTCTTCTAATCGCGCCAAAACGGCGTCGTCCGCGGATCGGCAGTGGCGTGCCGGCCACGGCAGATCGCACCACCACGGCCGATCGGCGGCTCGCCGGTTCCTCCTCTTTCCTTTCAGAGGCAGCTCCTTGTTCTACTTCTGCTTATTGTTTGCCGTTTTTGCCTTCGCCTTGGCTTCCATGGTGCTTCAGAGCTCGATCGCGTCGGTGTTCCGAACCGGGACTGAGAGAGGGAGGTCGGTCCGTGAGGGGTTGAAGTTCGGGAGTTCGTTGAAGTTCGTGCCCTGGCGGGTGCGGCGAGGACTCGGTCTCGATCGGTTGCGGAGCGAGCTCAGGATTGGTGTTCGCCCTCCCAGAATTGCACTTGTGAGTGTTCATAAATTGAATTTGAAGTACTTGTTTTCCAATTTTGATTCAAAATTGAGTTTTTCTTTGGTTCGATTTAGTTTCTCATTATAAAATCACAATTTTATTTTCTTTTAGTAATTGAAATGAATAGAAACTAGTAAGTACTGGCTTGGTTTGGAAAGTTAAATTAAAGTACTATGAGACTATGAGAATAGACCTAATATGAATTTTTCAAAGAACAGGGTGATCAAAGTAATAGCTAAGAGAATTTTGGAAGTTTTGGAGTTTATGATTGTAGGTTTCTTATGAAAATGGAAATTATCCCGTGTTAATTCCCATTAATGGAGGGTGTTGAGAGGGTGGGACTTGACTTATTGAAATGGATGAGTTAATTGTGTACTATATGATTTTTAAAAAAGTAGTTTTGACAAACCAAAGTCTATAAAGCAATTTTTGAAGAGCCATTAAATGCTAATAGGCACATTCCATTGGAGGATGTGGACCGTTTGGGAGAAGGAAACATGATGGCATTAAATGCTTTTATGTACTTTTTTCTTTTGGAGGGGGTGGACCATTTGGAAGATTTGGAAGTTAGGAATGGTTACTGTTACCTTGGGACCTGGATGAAGGGTCCCAGAATACTCTATAAAGTTAGATTTGGAAAGAATTATCGAGTCAGATTTGGAACGAATAATCAGTGTGCCACTGTTTCAAATCTGTCCCTTTAGGATTGATTATTGATGACATTAAGATCTTGTTGATCAGTTTGATAATCGGTTGCTCTTGTCATGCTAAGAGGGATGGATATGCAGCAGCTTATCACTGAAAAAATTTGTGATTCCAATGTATGAATTTTTAGTTTGAGTGGACATGGTCGTCCCTAGGTCTCTATGAAACACGTCTCGTCTAAGTAAATGTTGGCCATACAAAAATGTAATCTAAATCAAACCAAACCAAATTAAGCCTTAAATCCCATCAAATGGGGTCGGTTACATGAATCCTTCTTCTCCACGCGGCCCTATCGAAGGCCATTTCATTAGTCAAATTAAGTAGATTCATATCTCTATTTAAAACGTTAGTCAACATTAATCTAGGCCTACCCCGTCCCCTAACACTTCCATCTACCGTTACAGCATCGCATCTCTTGACTACTGCCTCTGTTGGTCTCCGTTGAATATGACCAAACCATCTCAAACGATTCTCTCTCAACTTATCTTTTATCGGTGTTACTCCTACTTATCTTCTATGCTTTCATAAACTAGGAAGAAGGAAAGTGTTAGTTTGGCAATACTTGAAGACTGCCCTTGATCTGACTTGGTTGGCATGAGTTAAGATTACCAAAGACACAGTTCTTGGTTGAGCTCGTAATCTCTTGGCTTTGAAGCTTCAATCTCAGAGGTGTCTTCTAAACCTTATTATCTAGGATTTGAGGGGCTGCAAAAATCCTCATTCAATAAAACAATTCACTTTGATTATTGTGCTCTTAGATACTAAGTAGCACGAACACGAACATGTGACAAGACATGATAATTTTAAAAAAAGCAGGACATGATAGATGGAGGGAGGAGGGCGCACACAAAATATATAGTAAAAAATATATATATATATAATAAAAAAAAGCAATTTTTTTTTATTTTTTTTATTTATAAAGATGAATGATTAATAGATATAAATTTATATTATTTTTCTTTTATCATTGAATGCAAAGTTATTTTGTTTATACTTATAGTATGTTTCATGTGTGTATAAGTGATGGATATGTGTGATTGTCCAAAGAGTGTCTGGAACTAAATTTTTTTCCAAAAATAATAGGACCCATTTGCATGTGTTCAATGTGTTGAAAAGTATCCAATGAGTGTACCTTTGTGTTGAACGAAAAATAACATCTCATTACCAAATCCTCAATTTTTCGGTTGCTTTTATTTCTTCATGGCATACCTTTGTATACATGATGCACCGATGCCTTCTATTTTTCTGGGATAGTAATGTAAACTAAATGTTCTTGAAGGAAAAATAACATGATTTCTTACATTTGAATATAATTCCTGTAGATCAATGTGTTTGCTTAACTGTATATTCATCATTCAGAAAATTTGATATTTGAAGAAACATTTTATTTAAATTGGTGCGTTGAAGTGATTAGACTATGTCCCCTAAATAGTGCTTTTGTTTTGATGGACGTTAGATCTTGGGAAACATGAAGAAAGATCCAGCGTCGTTGATGCTGTCTACTGTTACAAATAAACTGCACGAGCTTGGCTATGTGCTTAAGGTGATTCTCTCTGAATCATTTGTACTTGTTTGTGCTAGTTACAGATAAATATGTTGTTTATATTCTTCATTGCTAGTGATAGCAAATGTTGTTTTGTTTTTATAGGTAAATATAATGTGATTAACAAATAGTCTTTTGGATTATCACACTTTTTACATAGGTTTACAAGGTCTTTTTTTCTTGTCCTTTTGTGGGTCCTTCAAATTTCTGGGGAAAAGTAAAGCAGTCATTCTGATTCTATTATCTTTTCCACAGATGAGGGTTTCTTTTTGTATCCTATAACACTTAAATGTTATGCAAATCAACCAGGTTCAGTAGGTTGCTATGATTTGTATAGGGAACCCTTTTGAAGATAAGTTCTTTGCTAAAGCTAATTAGTCATTATGAAAAACCTGCTGAGTTATGCAGATCATACCTCTAGAATTTTGATTGTTGTACACTTATACATCCTTATAATGTTTCTTTGACAGATTTATGCAGTAGACGATGGTAAAGCGCGTTCTATGTGGGAGGAAATAGGAGGTCAAATCTCAATCCTAAGTCCTGACAGATATGGCCATATTGATTGGTCAATGTATGTGTGCTATTTGATATAGTGTGGTTGCTTTGTACTTTGTGTAGTATTTTTTGTTTTATTGCCAACTCTTTTGGTGACATCTGTTACTTTGTTTATTTTAGTTGGTACAGATGGTTCATGTTTTATCTTTTTTGCAGCTTTGAAGGTATTATTGTAAATTCACTTGAAGCAAAAGATGCTATTTCAAGGTAGGCCTTTCATTGACTTAATTCTCATAGACACTATTTTAGTTGGTCTTGTTTATTACTTTTTTAAATGTTTGGCCACACGTAAAAGTTTCATATCTTTTCCTTTTCTCTTTCATTATATATATATATATATATATTTGATAAACAGAGCTAAATATGAGAATGAGCATCAAAAGGGGATCTCAAAATAGCTTATACCTCATTCTTTACTTAATAAACTATATGAAATCTAAAATATAATGGTGTCATCTGCTTATAATAAGTGAGATAATATTGTAGGCGAACCACTCATTTGCCCCACAAGGAAATTGTCAAAAAAACCATCTTGAATTGTTCTTATCAAGAATTATAGATGGACACTGAGAGAGACCAGACCCCTTTCTTTTTTCTTTGTTTCCCTCCTTACTGCTCAAAGAAGAAGTCGTTCTGTTAGGTGTATACAAACTTTCTATGAGAAACAATATAGAAATAGTGGTTGTCTAATGAGAGATACTATGCATAATAAGCTCTTGCCTTGGGAAAGTCGCATATTGTGCCTCTATAACCAAAGTGAACAAAAAAGATGACAATTAATCTCCTTGACACAAGACATCCAGAAAAAACCTGCAGTAGATCCATTAACCAGTAATAAAACTCACACTGGCATATAATTATGTTACCTTTCTCCAAAACCCATCTTCTTCATCACATACAACAAAAATTCTTAGTTTACATGATAATACGCTTTCTCAATATCCACTTTGCAAACCACCCTTGGGATACCACAACCTCTAATCCACACTCTCATTAGCTACAAAAGCAACATTCAAAATCTGTCTACTCCTCTGACACTACCTTTAGAAGTACCTTCTTCAATGGTCTAGCTAAAACTTTAGCTAGGATCTTATATTCCTTCCAATAAGGAGATGGGCCTAACATCGTTTGTATACTCTACCCTCCTTTCTTAGGAATCAATGACACAAAAACATTGAAACTTTTCTAAGAAACACCATGCTCAAAAAATAAGGATATCATGCCCAACACAACTATGTAGGCTTATTTAACGCCTTCCTAACGCTATTGGAAAAAGGCAATAGTCATATCATCCACCAACCTACCCATGACCTTATCTCCTTTTTGAGACTTCAATGCCACGACCACTTCCTCTTCTGAAAATGTCTTTCTAACCAATCCTTATCAGTGGTCGCGATGCCACCAAAGTCCAACCCATCCTCCTGGATCTGAGTAAAGCTCCTCATAGGAATCCTCTGTACTAGTTCTAATCTTCTCAACCATCCACACCCTAGCCCCAGTAGGAATTTTGCCTATGTATGAACATTAGCCATTCTCTAAGAAAAATGGGTATTTCCAGCACCCTCTTTAAGCCATAAAGCCTTAGCCTTCTGGTTTTATCTCGTTTTCTCCATCTTTGCAATGCTACCAAATTCTTCTTTCAAGTACTCTCTATGCCCCTTTGAGATAATGAGATTACGAACACTCTCAATCTCATTGAATTGAAGGCCTTTGTGTCCTTCAGAACTGTTGGCTTTTGAATCCTGATTCCATTTCTTCAAATCTTCATTCAAAAGCTTTAATTTCATGTCTGAAATCAAACTAGGTCTTTCTTCAACATGATAGCAGCTCCTCACTCACCAACCATTTCCTTGACCCCATCCACTTGAAGTCTTTTCAAAAAAAAAAAAAAAAAAACTAATTCTTGAAGAATGATCAGACACCATCTCCAGTTACAAACCCTGAGCCATGTATGAGAGATGCTTCTCCCAATTTGTGGAAACAGAAAAGCAATTAATTCTTGAAATATAAGACAAATCATGATTATTTGACCAAGTAAGGTTAAGTTGTTTTAGCCATTTATTACTTCCGTATTATGTTCCTCGGATAGATGGTAGAAATGTTATTGCTAGTCTTAAGACAGTTGACAGTTGAATAGAAGGTATGACTAACTTACCAAATGAGCCAAAATAATGATTTGTGGGGCATTCAACTGGAGTGCTTGTTTTTAGTGGTTACATATGAAGAACTTTATTGTTCGTTTGCTTCAATCTGAGATGCTGTAAGCAGTGAGTTTTATATTTTTGCAGCCTTATGCAGGAGCCTTTTTGTTCTGTACCACTTATATGGATAATTCAAGAAGATACCCTTGCAAATCGCCTTCCGGTGTATGAGGATATGGGCTGGGAACATCTTATTTCGCACTGGAAAAAAGTTTTTAGCCGAGCTGATGTTATCGTGTTTCCAGATTTTTCTTTACCGGTAATTTTTCTATTCAATAATCCTTGTTTTGTTAATTTCCCGCACACAATCTTTGTAGCTTTGTATTAGGCATTCTCGTATTGTTTCTCAATTACTATTCCTTCCTGTGTCAGATGTTATATAGTGTGCTTGACATGGGAAACTTCTTTGTGATTCCTGGATCACCAATAGATGTGTGGGCTGCAGAAAGCTACAGTAAGACCCACTCCAAAATTCAGTTGAGGATGGACAATGGGTTCAGTAAAGATGATATACTGGTTCTAGTTGTTGGAAGTTCTTTCTTTTACAATGAGCTATCTTGGGACTATGCAGTGGCAATGCATGACATAGGACCTCTTCTAATCAAATATGCAAGTGAAAAAGACTCCATAGGGGCATTTAAATTTCTCTTCTTGTGTGGAAACTCCACTGATGGATACAGTGATGCTTTACAGGTATTCTACTGTTGATTGCTCTATTTTGTGTTAATTTGTTCTCCCATGTAGGTATTATATTATGAGGTTTTTGAATCATGTTTGAGTGTGCAATAAAAGGACTTCGTAATAGGGAAGGGAAACTATAATGAATGCTTTGTAGTTGTTGCATGGATCAATCTGCATTTCTCAATACTTTAATTTTGTTTTCTGTTTTTACCCGACTTTAATGATGATTCTGATGAACCAAGGTTTTAAAAAGCGGCTGCAACCGTTATGTAATGCCGTTACGTAACGGTTGTGGTAGTTACCGCCACCCGTTACGGCCGCTTTTGCAGTGTGATTGAGATTCACAGGTGTATCGGCCGTAGCGGCTGCTATAGCGGTCGTAACGGTGCCGTAACGGCCGTAACGACCTGTTACGCACCGTTACGTAACGGTTCCGAATTGCTTCTTTCAAAAAAACACAAAAAAGAAAGTTGAAAATGGGGGGAGGAGAGATAGAGAGAGAAGAGGGAAGATGGAGGAACAAGAGATAGAGAGAAAGAATAGGGAAGATGAAGAACATGTTATTGATTTGTTGAATAGAGAGAGAAGAGGGAAGATGGAGGAACAAGAGATAGAGAGAAAGAATAGGGAAGATGAAGAACATGTTATTGATTTGTTGAAGTTGTATGACCTATGTTATTCTATTCAGCTGCTGTCACTCAACCATTTTGTTTGTGTGCGTATCTATATATTGTTTGATAATAATAATAATAATAATAATAATAATAATAATAATAATAATAATAATAATAATAATAATAATAATAATAATAATAATAATAATAATAATAATAATAATAATAATAATAATAATAATAATAATAATAATAATAATAATAATAATAATAATAATAATAATAATAATAATAATAATAATAATAATAATAATAATAATAATAATAATAATAATAATAATAATAATAATAATAATAATAATAATAATAATAATAATAATAATAATAATAATAATAATAATAATAATAATTGATCAATATTTATTTTAAAACCCAATAAATATGATTATGGAAAAAAAATGTGCGTATCGGTAAGTTTTTTTCAAATTGTGCGAAAAATAGAAAAATTCACGGTTCCGGTTCCTGCAACCGTTACGCTACGGCCTTTACACCCCGCAACCGCGCCACCGCCACCGTTACGGCAACCACAACCGCTTTTCAGAACCATGTGATGAACACATCATCTAGCTTTGTGACTCAGTTTTAATGTTTACAATTAAATCTCTAAGTGCTAGTCAAATGAAATAAATATTTATGTTTTTCTATTTGAATGGTGCTATTGAGAAGCTTTGTCTAATGTTTCTTTGCAACATATAGGTTACATGATGGAGATTTCTGGATCTGCAATTTAATAGGCTTGTAGGAGAACTAATGGAAAGATTTAAATTTCAAAAAATACCCTGAGCTCTTATTTTGGAAAAAATCTTTACATTATATATCAACCAAACCAAACTAAACCAAGTCTTAAGTCCCATCAAATGGGATCGGTTACATGAATCCTTCTTCTCCACTCAACTCTGTCAAAGGCCATTTGGTTAGTCAAATTAAGAAGATTCATATCTCTATTTACTACACTAGCCTACGTTAATTTAGGTCTACTCCTTCCCCTAACACTTCCCTCTACTGTTACTGTATCGCATCTTTTCATTGCTGCCTCTATTGGTCTCCGTTGTATATGATCAAATCATCTCAATTTATTCTCTCTTGGCTTATACATTATTATATATACATTATGAATGAATATATATGTGCTTATATGGGAACTTGTGAGAGAGGGAGAAGTGAACTTTTTAAGATGTTGCCTTAAAGATAGATTGTAAAGAAAAATTACCATAAAATTATTAGGAAAATCTGACAGGGGCACACATAGAAGAGTTTGGGGGAAGAATTTGCTCGTCTGTGCAATTTTCATGAAGTGTTCTTTGTTAAGTTGTGCATGCAGTCTGTTCAACTTGTAAGCTTTTTGTATGTAAATAGTATGGGAGCGCTTTTAAATACACCCTAATAATTTCTCTGTACCCTCACTTTTATGCATTTAAACCCTTGTACCTTTAAAAAAAGTGTAACGAGAAATTTTTATGGTGTATTGAGAAGTTCCCAAATAGTACGGTCGTGAGTTGGGTGCGACTAACTCCAAATATGGGAACTTGTGAGAGAGGGAGAAGTTTTTTAGATGTTGCCTTAAAGATACTGTAAAGAAAAAATATTGTAAAATTATTAGGAAAATCTGATGGGGGCACACATAGAACAGTTTGGGGGAAGAAGTTACTCGTCTATGCAAGTTTCATGAAGTGTGCTTTGTTAAGTTGTGCATGCAGTCTGTTCAACTTGTAAGCTTTTTGTATGTAAATAGTATGGGAGCGCTTTTAAATGCACCCTAATAATTTCTCTCTACACTCACTTTTATGCATTTAAACTCTTGTACCTTAAAAAAAGTGTAAAGAGAAATTTTTATGGTGTATTGAGAAGCTCCCAAATAGTACGGTTGTGAGTTGGGTGCGACTAACTCCAAATATGGTCTTTTATTGGGTGCACTGAGTCACCTTTTGTTATGTGTGTATGTGCGCATGTGTGTATTTTCTTTATTTTACATTACTGGTGAGCCCTAAATCTTAAATATTAAAAAGAATGCTTCCGGAACTTGAACCTTTTTTATTTATTTATTATGTTTATTTGATTTGTTTGCTATTCAGTCATGAAGTTTATGTCCTAAATCTTTACATCACAAAACTAAGTAATTATTTAATATGCTTTAAATTTTCAATTGATCTGCCCTAGCTCTATTTGTGTAGGAAATTGCTACACATTTAGGACTCCACCGTGGTACAATAAGGCACTATGGCGTGAATGGTGATGTGAATGGTCTGTTATTAATGGCTGATATTGTTCTGTATGGTTCCTCCCAAGATGAACAGGGTTTTCCTCCATTACTTACACGAGCCATGTCATTTGCGATCCCCGTTATTGCACCTGACTACCCTGTCATAAAAAAATATGTGAGTCCATTCAGTTTTTTTAATTATTCTTTCATAGTTGCCTTCAGAGGGTTTTTGTCTCATGTAAATAGTGAACTTTTTTAAACTGTTCAAAATTTTCAGGTTGTTGATGGTGTTCATGGGATGATTTATCCAAAACATAAGCCTGATGCATTGATGAGAGCTTTCTCACTTTTGATATCAAAAGGAAAACTCTCTAAATTTGCTCATGTTGTGGCTTCCTCTGGAAGGCTGTTGGCTAAGAACATGCAGGCATCAGATTGCATTGCTGGCTATGCAAAACTTTTGGAGAATGTCCTCACTTTCCCATCAGATACCCTGCTCCCAGGTCAGATATCTCAGCTCAAACAAGGTGCATGGGAATGGAATTTGTTCAGGGAGCAGAGAGGTATTGACCTGGGAAGTATGGACCAGATTTACATGAAAAATTCTAGTGTTGTTTATGTGCTTGAGGAAGAGTTGACCAACCTTATTGATTTAAGGAATGCCTCTGAGAGTGAACCCAAGGATCTGGTGCAGGACATTCCAACTGAACTAGATTGGGACATCTTAATGGAGATAGAAAACTCTGAAGAGGTTGAAAGGCTTGAAATGGAGGAGGTATGGTCTTTCTTTTGCAAATGGCTGTTTTTTTGGGTCACCTCTCTCTCTCTCTCTACATTTCAGGATGACAGTTAATGATGGAGTGTGGTTTATTATTTGTAGAGTGAAGAAAGAATGGAGAAAGATTCTGGTGCATGGAACGAGATATATCGCAATGCTCGAAAAGCTGAAAAAATTAAGTTTGAAGGAAATGAAAGGGATGAAGGAGAGCTAGAAAGGGTGGGTCAGCTACTATGCATATATGAAGTATATGATGGAGCTGGGGCGTGGCCATATTTACACCATGGTTCTTTGTATCGTGGGCTAAGTCTTGTGAGTTTTCTTGACTCGGATCGGACTGTTAGTTTTTTTCTTCTTTTTCTTTCATCAATATTTATTATATATATGTTTATATATATTTCTGAAAGAACCCAGTTAGAGCAGTACAACTTGATGCCACTAATACTGTGCTTGAGATTCAACTTCCTTTTACTATAAATACAATATTGCACTGTGTGAATATGCACTTTGTAATGCATCTACTACAGACAAACTTGTTTAAGGCCAAGAAGTTGTTTTTGTTTTTGAGAGCTCCAAACTTCATTGTTGCTTCCTTGGGAACATTTAATTCCATTTTATCTTGTTTAGCATCTGTCACTGGTTTAATGTTATTTAAATAATCTATTTTGTATATAAAAAAATTGTTGATATTGTACTTAGTTCAGACAGGCATCATAGTATTTATTCCTTCTTGTTGATCTTTAATTTACTTCATATAGGCTTCAAAATTTTATTCCTTTTGAATGTGTTATTTTGTTGCTTATAATCTTCCTACATTATGTCAGTCCACATCAGTGCGAAGATTGAGATCGGATGATGTGGATGCAGTTGGACGGCTTCCCCTCTTAAATGACTCATACTATCGGGATATTCTGTGTGAGATTGGAGGCATGTTTGCTATTGCTAATTGTGTGGATAACATTCACAAGCGACCGTGGATTGGATTCCAGTCGTGGCATGCTGCTGGCAGGAAGGTAAAATCATATACTGGTTGATGCACAGACATGCATATACAATAAGCAAAACCATACTACTCTTAGTAGTTGTGCTATTGAATTTAATTCTTAATATAGAATATAATACTCCGCGTATGGTTGCAGTCTGCAAATTATAACCATCTTCTCTCTCTGTCTGTGTCTGTCTGTCTGTCTGTCTCTCATGTAATCTGAAAGCAGGTTTCATTGTCGACTAATGCTGAAAATGTTCTGGAAGAAACAACACAAGAGGAAACTAAAGGAGATGTAATATACTTTTGGGCACACTTGGACATGGATGGTGGACTTTCGAGAAATAATGATGTGCTTACTTTTTGGTCCATGTGTGACATCCTAAATGGAGGAAACTGCCGGTATGTGGTACAACTTTTGGTGATGATATGTGGGTGCCGGTCATGTTTAATATATTGTGCTGATATCCGCTGAGTTGGTGACCTGGCTGTTTTATTATATTCTAGTTTTCCCCCCCTTTTTTTATTTTTTTATTTATGTGTGTGCGTGGGTAGAGGGTTTGCCTGCATCCTAAATGGAGGAAACTGCCGGTATGTGGTACAACTTTTGGTGATGATATGTGGGCGCAGGTCATGTTTAATATATTGTGCTGATATCCGCTGAGTTGGTGACCTGGCTGCTTTATTATATTCTAGTTTTCCCCCCCTTTTTTTTATTCTTTTATTTACGTGTGTATGTGCGTGGGTAGAGGGTTTGTCTGCATCCTATGTTGTGCACCTTTTTCTTTTTTTTCAAGAGAGTCCCCAAAAAAATGATAGCGAAGCTTATGGTTGTTACTGAAAGAATCTTAGGTTCCTTTTTCTGGTTTTATCCTTTCATATTCCTAGGGTGCGCTTAGAACTGCTGGAATATTGGGTTTTTTTTATCTGTTCCCAGTGTTCAGAATGAATTTTTTAGGGTGCATTTTGAGGCTAGTTTTGTGTATAATTTTCTTTGACCATTAGCTGAAACAATCCTGGATTACTGGAATCACTCTCTTTGGGAGTAGTTATATGGTTGATCATCTCAGAGGTTGGAAATGTATATCTGCTGGAAATTGCACTCCCAAGCACCTCATTTCACCTTGTTTTTTTTTTCTTTTTCTTTTGAAGAAGAATAAATTTTACATATTTCTTTAAGATGGTGGACTCATCCTCTACGGATATACCATTTTCCCTAATTCTTTGAAAACAGCATATTTTGGACAATATTATAGACGTAGTTTAGTGGGAAATTTTTTGTTCAACTGTAGCATTGCATAGTGTTGCTAGCCGTAAATCTAATTGGGTTAGAAAGGTTCACAGTTTCCTTGACGTTCCTTTGAAAGGACATATCTTATTTAATTCACTTGTGACGTGCTACAAAAGCACTTTTCAGTATTCCCATACATATAATTTTTTTTCTTATATTATATTTTTTCATTTTTTATATTTATCTTGTTATCTAGGGTTTCAAACAAACTAAGCTGCTTGTGAACAACTTGTTACTGCCTTGTTAAGAAGCTTGTTCATGCCTTCTTTCCTGTTTAATTATCTTAGGTTTTAAGCTCAATAGCTTCACATGAAACAGTTGAACACCTTGCTTGGCTTTATCACACAAACCGTTGATATATGTTTAATAACCTTAGTAGGTTTCTGGACTCTGATGTTTTGTGCAAGCAATTAAATTTCTACCAAGTGCACTTGAACTACTTGATCATTCAGCTCTGCTGGCTTGATCATCATGCTATTCTCAGCTAAAATGAGTTGATTATTCCTTACTTGGGAATTATCTAAATCTTGTTTGAAAGCCTAAGTTTGGGGTATAGATGCGTAGAAGTTTTTCAATCTTCCAAACACCTTTATAAGAGTAAGCATGGCTTATAGTCATGTCTTACGGGTCTGAAACCTCTTGAGCTTTCATTTAAATCCAGTTTAAATTTTTGACAGATAGCCATGATTTGAAAACTGTTCTCTTTTTCTTCGCCTTTTGCTTCTCTTACGTCATCTTCTTCTTTGTCCCAAATGCACGCAGAACTACCTTTGAATATGCCTTCCGCCGTATGTATGCTTTGCCATCACATTTGACGCTCTTCCACCCATGCCTGAAGATGGTGGTCACTGGTCTGCTCTGCACAGCTGGGTGATGCCAACCCCTTCCTTTCTAGAGTTCGTAATGTTTTCCAGGTATGTTTCTTGGGGGAAAAAAGTTCTGTTTCTTGTAGCATCTCATTACATTGTTTGATCACAACATGCAATCAAAGGCAGTTGGTTGCTGATATAGTATATATGAGATTCATATTATTTATTTATTTTTTCAAAAAAATTGAAACAACAGGATGTTTGCTGATTCTCTCAATGGCTTGCACACAAATTCAAGCAAAATCACAACTTGTCTTTTGGGCTCCACAAATCTGGAGGTAAGCCCTGTGGGACATAAAGCACCTTGCTTGCAGTTTTCAGTGGGATTTAGGTGGGATTTTGCCAATTGTTTTTAAAAAATAAAAAATAAAAAAATTGATGTATTTGGTAATTTCTTAAAAAAATTGTTTTATATTTTTTGTTAGTGGGAAAGTTGGCTTTTTAAGCCGAAGACAAACAAACAAACAGACTTTTGAGGATGGCTTGTTTGGGAAGAACTAAATAAGTAGCTTTTTTGGTTAAAAAAGCCAAAAACAAACAAGCCGGTTTAGGATAGCTTCTCCATAAAAAAGACAGCTTTTTAGCAAATTGTTGAAAAAACAATTTTACCCTCCATAGTCTTAGAAATTCTACTGTGTCTCTATAAGGTAATATGGTAGTTTCTCACAAAAAAAACAAGTTTGAAAAGACCCAAAAAAAAGGTAATTTTTTTAGCAATTACCAAACGCACCAGCTATTTTAGTTTTTAAAAAAGAAAAAATACTACTTAAAAAGCAATTGCCAAATCCTAACCTTAGCTAAAGCCAAACTGGTATTAGTCAGATTAGGATTTCTCATTTTTGCTGTTTCATGACTACCAGAAAAAGCATTGTTATTGCCGGATTTTGGAACTCTTGGTCAATGTTTGGGCATATCATAGTGCCCGGAAGATGGTTTACATTGATCCACGCTCAGGTGCATTACAAGAGCAACATCCAATTGCACAACGGAAGGGATATATGTGGGCAAAGTACTTCAATTCTACTTTATTGAAGAGTATGGACGAAGATCTAGCAGAGGCTGCAGATGACTATCCAAACGAGACATGGTTGTGGCCGTTAACTGGAGAAGTATATTGGCAAGGCGTTTATGACAGAGAGAGAGAAGAGAGGTATCGACTAAAGATGGACAAGAAGAGGAAAACAAAGGAGAAATTATTTGACAGAATGCAACATGGATACAGACAGAAGTCACTCGGAGGATAGGAAAAGCTTAAATGTCAGCTTAAAAGGTTGATTCTATTGATGAAATATGCTTGACTCCTAACATAGCAACCCAACCAATTTTTGGTTATTGATTAAAACAATAGGGAAAAGGCTTGTACAGATGAAGCGGAGCTCGATTCTTTCCAACGTCATCAAGATTTTTGACTGATAGAAGCTCCTGATAGCATACTTCTAGGAGTGGAGAACATAACCGGAGATCGCTAGCAAGTCGAGTTCACTAGCATTTTGAAGACTTCTTGCTCTGATATTTATAGCGGCTCTGAACACATACTACGAGATTTGATGTGCACCCAATTTTAATTAATTAAATTATTATTTTTCGGTAATTGAAAACATGATGCAGGCAATGTATTCTTTCATCCATGTATATACCTATGGAATAACAAATACAATTTTGATTGGTATACCAAAGTGGCTTCATGCTTGGTTGGTGTCTTTCTGGGTTTTTTCATGGAATTGATTTTGGAACTATGGCATACAGGTGATCTTATTGATGTGGTGGGAGTGACCTGCTAAATTTTCTTACTCGTCAAACATGGTTGTTAGGAGTGATTGTCAGTAGCAGAAAGTGTTGGCCAACCATTAGAGGCGGGAGTGACCTGCTAGATGTTTGTCGATTGTTGGGTTGGTGGCTTGAGGTGGGGGTATCTCACCTTAAGTGATTGCCTACAATGGTGGTCTAAAGGAGTTTGGCGATGGTGGTTAGAGATAGTAGCCAGGAGTGATGGGAAAAGGAATAATGAATACAAATTTATTTTCAAAACAAGTAAAAATAATTTCTGTGTTTGGTTTCAATATTCTGAATTCAATATTTTAGAAATTGAGTTTTTTATTTTTTTGCGTATTTTTTTTATTTTTAGTGAATATTTTTAAAATTTTAGATATTTTTTTTTTTTTTTAATTTTTAGATGGATTTGACTTAGATATATCTAAAAAGTGACATATTAGTAAAAAAAAGGGAAAATTAGTGTAAGGTTCATTTCTCATTTTTAGTAATGGAAGAGATCCACAATATTATTTAATGATGTCTGAGGTCCCTCAACCCCCGATACCCATATATCACTAAGAAATTTGATCCCTCAAATCAACAGCCTTTCCCTCTCTTCCTCTCTCTCTGCTCTTCTCTCTCCGATGAACTCTACCTCTATCACTAAAGTTCATCGTCGTCATCGTCTTCTCTAGCTCACTCTCCTCTGTCAAATGAAGCTCAAAGCATTCCAGAGAAGGAAGAGCAATGAAGAAAAAGTTGGTCTCCAGTGGCGCCGCCATTAGTCTCTGAATTTCTTCACCGAATTGAAGCGATTCAACTCCGATTTCTTCAGTTTTCTCTCTGCAACTCGCGGATCTAATTTCAGTACCAGAAATTTGCATGGAAATTCCCCGAAGATCGACGAGGATCTTCATAGGCATCACCATCTAAGCCGATGATGGAAGTGATCTTCACAGCAGTGGTTAAGTTGATCCATCAAAGAAGTGGATATCTTGCAAAGCTGTTGTGATCGTTCTGTTAATATGTGGTCTTCTCACAACTCTGGCATTTACTACTTCTATTAGAGTATGTCTTGTGAGTGTTGGCTGATAATATAGTTTGTATAATCTAATCTAGGAATTTGGAATACACAGATTGCATCTTGACATCATTGATTGAACTATTTTTGGAACAAACATGATCTTAGTTTACTAAATCACTATAAATCTGTAATTTATTACACGGTGCATTCACAAGACTTTATTATTATTCAGAAGCAAAAGAAAAACAATAATTATAAAAAATCAGAGAATTTGGAAAAGATGAGGAATGGAGTTGGAAGAGAAGAGAGAACTATAATTTTCTCTGGCATGTTTAATTTTCTTTGTGATGTTCATTTTTCTCTAGATTTCTTTGGTTTGAATAGAATTTCTCTAGAAGAGAAGAGAGAACTGCAATTTTCTCTGGCATGTTTAATTTTCTCTGTGGTGTTCAATTTTCTCTGAATTTTTCTGATTTAGAATTTCTCTAGAAGAGAAGAGAGAACTGTAAATTTTTTTGGTTTGATCAATTTTCTCTGATTGAGTCAAAACACAATTTTCTCTGTCTTGAATAATTTTTGCTGTGATGTTAGAATCCTGTGACAAAAGGGGACAAAAGAGAAATTTTCAAGTGCAATTTGTTGAGTGATGGAAGTTAGAATTTTGTTATTGAAGTAGGATCAATATTATTTGTGAGTAATTTTTAAAAGATTGTGAATTAGATTGTCATAATGCTGGTATTTACCTCCACAATTGGTACTAGTTTTTGAGTTGCAGGTTGCAAAAATTTGAACTTAGAGAAATTTCAAATTTCAATTTTCTCTAGGTTTGGAAAGTCCAAAATTTCTCAATTTTCTTTGGTTTGAAACCACCACTTAGACCACTGTTGCATTCATCAAAGGCAGTGTGGTAAAGATATCATACATAGATGAATTGTAGGAAAAGAGTAAGCTTGAAGAGATTTGTAAACTAGAGAAAATAGTGAAGAGATTTGAATACTAATGAAGCCTTGTGAATTTTCTCTGGAGAGTGGGAAGTCTAGAGAAATTTGGAGAGAATTTCTCTGGAGAATGGGAATCCATAGAAAGTCCAGAGAAATTTGGAAAGAATTTCTCTGGAGAGTTGGAAGTCTATAGAAAGAATTGCTGTGGATATGGTAAAAGCAATAGTGGTGAATGGGATGATCTTAAAATAGTAGCAGAAACTATTACTGGTAAATAGTGTGTGGCAGTAATATATTTAAGGCATCAGAAATGTCCCTTAATAGAGTTTAATGCAAAGAACAGGTTTCTAGTTAACCCAAGGCTTTTCTATATCTAATCTTTTTGCATATACATTTGTCTTTTATATGTGATTGATTATCATTAGTCGCTACCTCTGTCATATCGTAATGAGCTATTCAATTCTAAACTTACATGTTAAGCTTGGCAAGTGCAAAAGCAGGTTCTAGTTTTTCAAAATTTATCAAAATGTTGCTTATTGACAATAAAATGGGCAAGGGAAATCCAAAGAAAGTCCAGAGAAATTTTGAAAGAATTTCTCACAAATTTCTCTAGAGAACTCTCCAGAGAAATTTGGGGAGAATTTTTCTGGGAAATTCAGAGGATTTCTCTGAATTGAAATTTCTCTAGATCAATGTGTGAGGGACCTTAGATATTATGAAAATATTAGATGTCTTTTATACTATAAAATCTTAATACCAAGGACCTTAAAAAAAAAATCCCTAAAAAAATATTTTAAAAAATTAATAAATACACAAGAATATAAAAAATGTATTGAATTCTCGTATATTTTTTTGTATTTTTTGGTAATTAGTGAATTTTTCAAATTTTTTTTAACAAGTATTATACTTTTTAAGTGTATTTATATTAGATGTATTTAAAAATTAAAAAAATTACTTAGAATATTAAAAAAAAATCTAATGAAAACAAAAAAAACACGAAAAATAAAAAAAATTAATTTTTTAAAAATTAAATCCTGAAAAATCAAACCAAACAATTTTTATTTACATATAGAATTTTGTAAGTTTTGTAACTATTTACATTTTCATTCATTAGAAACGAAAATATAACGCCAAACGATTTTTTTAATAATTATTAAAATGTTTGCAAATATAAACAATCACCAAATGGAATTATACGCAAGTTATTGTGTAGTTGTTCGGAATATTAAATTGAAAATTGACTTCAAATAATGTCATGCAATCTTAACTTAAAAATTTCGTGTTAGAAATTTGAATAATTATTAATCTTTTTTGTGGAAATTTTAAAAAATTAAAATTTTATTGTGTTTTGATGTTTTTCTCCATTTCATATTTTTCAATTGCTAAAATTGCTATTATGAAATCGTTAAAATAATCAATTTGTCAATTTTAAGAATTTAACAGATTAAGATTGGGTAAGAAAATTTTCAACCCTCAAATTAAGTTTGCGTCGATGATTTTTCCTCAAAATCCATACCGACTCGCAGGCTAATTACGATATGATTAAATAGATAATCATTTTAAATGCCGATTGTTTTTAATTTTTCTATTTTTTAATTAAATTAGTTTTTAATTTTATTATTATTATTTTGATTTTAAAAAACAAAATTTGAAAATAAAACCAAACCCTGCATAAAACCCAAAACCATGTTCGGAGTTGTTTGGAGTTTGGAATGTTTCCTTCACCTCCGTCAGGGTTTTTGCGCAGTGGGGACTAGGGTTTCCTACGCATTTCTCTCTCTCTCTGAAGGTAACACTCTCTTTCTCATTTTCACTTTCACTTTGATGATTCTCGGTTTGAAACCCTATGGAGTTTAGCTGCTGTCTGTTTCAGTTCAGCTCAGTTCTGGTTTGATCACTGGTAGTTTTCTCCATTTTAGAACTTAAATTTTAATCTCAAGTTGTGATTATTTGTTTTCGTGTAGACATTTCTTAGTCTCTTGAATGTTATTGTTGAATTGTACTTCCCACGTATGAGATGACCTTTTTTTCTTGTTAATTTGCTTTGTTTGGTATCTGAGAAAATATGAGAAAAGAGGAAAAGGAAGTAAGAAAACAACAAGTTTAATCTTATTATGCGCCATACTTCTTAGGTTTCTGGAGTGAAAATCTTACTCCAAGCCTAATACTTCGGATTATGCTCAGTTGATCAAAGAGGAATTTGAGAACCAAATCATTAAATTCCTTTTAAAAAGAAAAATCCTAGGTTTTCTTGGCGATGAAATGGATGATCAGCTCAGCTCGTTCTGTTTGTTGTTGTTGAAATTTCACAAAAATGGGTGGGCTTAGATGAAATGTTTGTTGGGTTGCTTCTTTTATGCGAAGTTTTATTGGGGTACTGGTGAGGGCAGTGCCTTATTGCATTTACGGATTTTGTTAGCAACATAACTAGACCTCAAATTTCTCCAAATTCTGATCTTTCAGTTTCACACCAGTGCCTTCTCTTTGTTGGACATGCAATAGAATACTTATTTATTATTTATTTTAAATCCAAGGCATTGGTTTTTTTGTTTCAATGCAGAAAGTATACAATACTGTTATGTTACACTCAAAATTTCATATTTGCCATGTAGGGTTCTAGATGGGAGTAGACCTATAAACTCTGGTGTATGTGCTGGTGTATATGAAATCTTGGGTTTGCTCCTTCACAGCCCGGCTGTTCTTTAGGTAAATTATATATAGGATCTCCCAAGTCCTAACCTGTACCCTAGAATTTCTTGAGCAGATATCTCTCTGACATCACTCTGTTTAGATGGGTCACTATGTGGTCATTTATGTGGTTGTAGCTTAGCTATTCATACTGACAAGATCCTGACACAGAAGGCTGCACTTTTGATTTTGTTACATGAAGGTTTGCATCCTGAGGTCTGGTGACTTTCAACTCCATGCATGTTAGGGTGGCTGGGTTAGGCAGACAATTGCTCTAACTAAGTGATTTTGTTACATGAAGGTTTGTGTCCTGAGGTCTGGTGACTTTCAACTCCATGCATGTTAAGGGTGGCTGGGTTAGGCAGACAATTGCTCTAACTAAGTGCAATGACTCTGGAGGGATGAAACTACGGATTCGGCGTTCAAAAGAAGAGAGGAAGGCAATGGTTGAGTCTTTTATAAAGAAGTAATTGCATATTATTCTCTTGCTTTTTGAATTCATAATTTTTTTACCAAGGCTTTATGGTTCAAAGACATTTAGCTAAGGTTTTTGGCATCATATGCATCACTAATCATGCTACACATCTTTTTTTCTCTTGTATTATGTACGTATGTTATCTGCCAAAAGTTATAAATGAAAAGTCCCAAAGGATATCCCATATAAATCAATTATAATCTATCCTTTTGAAGTCTTTCCTGGATGCTCAGTCTATGAGCCAACTTGTACAATAATTCTTGTCACCGGCTCGGCTAGATGAATATTTTGAATAGAAGTATACGTTTGTGATGGAATTTTAGATTTATATAGTGTGCGTAAGTACTACATTCTTTTGTAGTTTTCATTGATTGTTTTGTTGCTCAATGGAGTGCCATAGTGTTTACATTTTGTGTATGTGGGCCTTAGTCTCTCTCTCTCTCTCTCTCTCTCTCTCTCTAGTAAAGTTCCCCATAAAAACCCTAAATTTATGAAAAACAAGTTTTTACTTGTTAATTAGAGCCTCCTTCAAGTTTAATTACATTAGTGTACTCAATTATACCTATATAGGTGGTTTGTATACTTAGCTTCAGTTCACCAATAAAAAGGCCATTATGCAGTGCTGGTCCTACCAAGGCTGAGTGCTGGAAGCGTAAACAAAGGATCAAACTTTTGGGGGGGAAAAAAAAAAATTATTGCACAAAATAGTTGCTTTTAGATTGGAATGGACATGCTTACACTTGATTTGCAACTTTTAGTATTGCACCAAATGATGGTGCTTTTTGGTTATTTCATGTATTAGAAACAAAAAATATATGAACAAGTAAATATATGTACATATATACTTGGGAAATTAGGACATTACCCCTGCTAGTCCTTGACAATTTGAGGACTGGAGATGGACCTAACCTTGGCAATAATTGCACGAAGTGGCTGATTTTGGAGTTGAACCCACATTCATGATTAGCAGCCTGAGCTTTTATCCTTGTGTCAAGTAATGCCCCTGCATATGTATATTGTAGAAAACAGTTCTGTTTCATTAACTTGCAATTGAGAACATGGCAATATTCATCTCGATGTTCTAAGATGATTGTAAGCTAGAAAGCACGGATACGGATACGGATACGAGATATGGATACGATACGATACGGATACGGCAATACAACAAAACCTAAAAAAGTAGGATACGAGTACGGTTAGGATACATTTGTAAAAAATAAAAAATAAATAAATTATTAGCAGTGAGTTACACAAAAGCTCAAGAATGTTGAGAAACCACAGTAACTTTATGATGCAAAATACTAATCTTTAAGAATTAGGTATTAATTTAAGGCAGTAGCTAGTTTAGTTTTTAAATTTTCAATAGGTCTTGCAAATATTTCATTTCAATATCAAGTCTAATATGTTGATATTATAATATCAAAACAATCCACAACTTGACCCTATACTTTTTCTTTTTGCACTAGTCAAAAATATTCTATGCAAGTTTATTTGCTTATTTATTTATTGATATTTAATTTTACTATTGTTATATTATCTTATTAATCCTTACTTCTATATAGTTATAGGGGACATGCATGATACAATGAAGATATGTCAATTTGATGAATTCTATACTTTAGCTTAATATGTTTTTTTTATAAAAAAACTAAGCAAAGTATTGTAAAAATATTTTATTTATCTTCGCAATTATATTATATTATGATGTTATGCAAGAAATGATACAATTCTAATTTCGTAAAAGGAGTAATATGTGACTTGGAACATTTGATACTTCAAAATTAATTAAGAAGTATCCGATAATATGTGACTTGGAGCATCTAATACTTCAAAACTAAGTATTCGATACTTCAAAATTAATGAAAAATTAATTAAGAAGTATCCGATACTTTTAATAAGTATCTGATACGTATTCGTAAGTATTCAAGGAGTATTGATATCCGATACAGATACGATACAGATACGTCTTTCTATTTGAAGTATCTGTGCTTCATAGATTGTAAGGTTGACAATACTGGGTCTGTAACAGTGAGATTGTGTTATGCCAGGCAGCTGACTATTAATTAGAATGGTCAAAACTTGTTAATGCCAAGTGTGAGAATGCAAGTTAAAGTCACTGGGTAGCCGTTTCACTCGAATTATGCCAAAATTAGGTCTCTACCCAATATATGCCTCTTAGCACCTGGTATCGGCATCTCCAATGTTGAGTAATGGCCTGTTTCTTGATTAACTAAAATTCTAGTAGCGGTGGTTACTCTTCTTTGTAATATTATGTTCATATTTGCTAAAATTTTGGGTGAGCTGACTGATATACTGATTTTTCTAGTGGCTATTGGACTTTCAAGTTTCTATTTGCATAGTTCTAATTGTGAGAATATTAGGTTAGGTTTGTATGTATGGTACTGTATATTGTGTATATATATGGCAGTGGTAGTGTTTCCTTTTCCTATATGGCAATGGTAGTGTTTCCTTTTCTTATATGACAGTGTTTTCTTTTCCTTTTTAGTCTTAGTCTTAGGGTTAGGATTATTATATAATCAGATGTATTCTTTAAATTATGTGACAATTAATATAGAGATTCATTCAGAAAACTTACATGGTATTAGAGCTAGTTTTCAAACCCTAGCAGCCATCGTGAAATCTTCTCTGGTTCTGACTTCTGGTTCGACTCTGTTCTTTGGACTTGATCGAGCTCTCTCTGGTCGCCAACACGAATCTCTCTCTGGTTTTGATCTCTGATTCAATCAAGTTCTTTGTTCCTTTCTTCATTTGGTTCTTTCTTCTTGATTGATTCGAAGTTGACTTGAAGTCGGCTCCATCTGGTTCCTCTACTCCCTCTCGTCTGATTCATCATTGGGTCATCTGCTTCGTTCGATCGATCCTCTAATTCGTCTGGCTTGTACGACTCATCTGAGTCCGTGACCCATCTGGTTCAACTCGCGACCCATCAACTCGCGAAGCTCTCTAGTGTGCCTCTTGCTTAGGGGTGGAAATTTGGTTCGGGCCGGCCCATGTCGGGCCTCGCGGGCTCCCGTCAAAATTCGGGCAAGCCTGGGCCGGCCTATGGGCCAAAAAATTAGGCCTAGGCCCAAGGGTATTCGGGCCTTAGGCGGGCCGGGCCGGTGGGCTTAGGACTGGCCTCAGGCTTGGGCGGGCTTGCCTGTTTCTTTTTTTAAAAATTTTTTCTACAAAAAATTTATTATTTTCCACTAAAAAATACATTGGGTCTTGGGCGGGTCGGGCTTCAAACTGATGGCCCAGGCTCGACCCGGCTCTAGCCTAAGGGCTCGGGCTAGGCTTGGGCCCGGGTCCAAACGGGCCAGGCATACCCCGGGTCGGGGGCCATTTTTACACTCCTACTCTTACTCATCTTAGTTGGTTCTCTGATTTGTCTTGGCTGGTTCTGTGGATTGTCTCTCTCTGGTTTCTATTCTCCAAACACAAAGCACTCTCTCCCTTTGTGTTTGATATCTGATTTCGACCCACCAAGTCTTCGACCCATCTGTGCTAGCTTTTGGGTTATTATAATTTAACCCCTCAAATATTTTGAGTTATTACACTTTGCCCTATCAGTTCCCTTCTCTTTTCTCTCTGGTTATTACGATGTCTTTGACTTTTGATGAGTGTGCCTTCTGCCACCAAAGGGGTCATTGGAAGTATCATTGTCCCAAGAAGGGATATATGTCTGCCTCGTCTTCTCAGCAGTTTTCGATCTAGTTTTGCGCCCCTATTTCGAGTACTTTTTAGCCTCTTGCCAATTCTATTGCATCTGCTCCGACTCCTAATCCTGACTTGGCTTCCTTGAGTGCTCAGATTATTCAGCTTTAGCATATACTATCTACCTCTCAGCCATCTCTATTTGCTTCCATTGTTTCCTCTCTTCATTCAGGTTTGCTTGGGTCTTTTTCAGGTATCTCTTCGTCTGACTGGATTTTTGACTCTGGTGCCTCTCATCATATGACTCATCATCTCTCCTTACTTCAAAATTATACTCCTCTTCCTTTTCCTATTACTGTTAATGTTGCTAATGGGTCTAGTATATCTGTTATATTTGTTGGGTATGTCCTACCGTCTGCTATGTCTGTTGTCTCTATTCCATCTGTCCTTTATGTTCTTCAATTATTTGTCAATTTATTATCTATCAGTCAGCTTGATGACTCCGGTTTTGATGTTATTTTTTCTTCTTCTATCTGTTTTGTGTAGGATTGGATGTCCAAGCAACAGATTGGGACCGTCCGTAGAGTTGGAGACCTCTATGTGGTGGAAAGCTTGAATCTGCCTATGACAATCTCCTCAACTGTTTTTCTCTCTTTTTAGTTAGATTCTCTGTTTAGTCCTTTCTACTTGTGGCATTCTAGATTAGGCATTTGTCTGCTGACCGCTTATGGTCTTTAGCTCAATAAGGTATATTGGGTAAAGTTTCTCATAGTGAACTTACTGAGTGTCGGGGTTGTAAACTTGCCAAAATGATAGCCTTACCTTTTCGTAAAAGTACTATATTTGATACACGATACACCGTTTTCTTTAGTTCATACTGACGTTTGGGGAATATTTTAAAAATGAGTTCTGTAAGTATTTGGCCAATTTGAATACCATTCATAAACTTCTTGTACTGATACCAATGTTTTATGTGGCATTCTAGATTAGGCATTTGTCTGCTGACCGCTTATGGTCTTTAGCTCAATAAGGTATATTGGGTAAAGTTTCTCATAGTGAACTTACTGAGTGTCGGGGTTGTAAACTTGCCAAAATGATAGCCTTACCTTTTCGTAAAAGTACTATATTTGATACACGATACACCGTTTTCTTTAGTTCATACTGATGTTTGGGGAATATTTTAAAAATGAGTTCTGTAAGTATTTGGCCAATTTGAATACCATTCATAAACTTCTTGTACTGATACACTTGGCCAAAATGGTCGAGCTAAGCGTAAACAGTTAGGTCTCTTCTTTTCTCTGTCTCAGTTCCAGCTCCGTTTTGGGGGGAGGTAGTCCTTACTGCTGCTTTTCTTCTTAACCTCATGCCTACTCCCCTTTTTTCTGGTCGGTCTTCTTATGAGGCTCTGTTCTCTCAAATTCCTAATTACTCCCTCCTTTGTGTGTTTGGGTTTGCCTGTTTTGTCCTTCTTTCCCTTAAAGATCGGACCATACTTAGTACCCGATCTGTCCTATGTGTCTTTTTGGGTTGTAGTTTTACTCAGAAAGGCTATCGATATTATGACCCCGTTTCCCGTCGTCTTTATGTCTCCCGTCATGTTTCTTTTCTCGAACGTCTGCCTTACTTTCAGCTTTCTCCTCTCACTGCTCCGGTTTCCAAAGAAGATTTGGTTCACATTGATCCATTTCCCTCTTAGGTCCCTTCCGATGAGTACATCTCTACTGTTCCTCATGAACTTGTTCCCTCTTCTCTTCCTACCACCCCTTCTGATGAGTCCCTCTCCACTGACCCCCATGAATCTAGTCCTTGCTCTCCTCATCTTTCCTCACCTGCTCCTTCTTTTCATTCTCCTCCGTTATTAGTCTATTCTCGTCGTAAGACTCTTCCTCCACTAGTTGTCTCTGTCCCTGCTGTTGATCATCTTGCTTTTGACGACTTTGATCTTGCTAACCGTAAGTATTCCCTTGGCATTTGTAAACACATCGTAAAACTTAGTTTTGCTAACACATGTTTTTCTCCTTCATATTGTATGTTTTTGTCTGCTATTCACTCTTTTTCAGAACCTTAATCTTACAAGAAGGCCTGTCAGGATCCTCATTGAATTCAAGTTATGGAGGATGAGTTGTTTGCTTTACAGAAACTAGTACTTGGGAGTTGGTTCATTTGCTTGCTTGTAAGAATCTGGTTGGTTGCAAATGGGGGTAAAAAGTTAAGACTTATTCTGATGGTTCTCTTGAGCGCTACAAAGCTCGTCTGGTTGTCAAGGATTTTTCATAGGAGTATGGTATTGATTATGAGAAGACCTTTGCTCCTGTTGCCAAGATGACCATTGTCCGTACTTTGATATCTGTCGCTGCTGTTTGTCATTGGCCTCTTTATCAGATGGATATTAAGAATGCTTTTCTTAACGGCCATCTCCTGGAAGAGGTTTACATGCATCCTCCCCCTGGCCTTCACCATTCCTCTGGACAGATTTGTCGTTTTCGGCATGCTCTGTATGGTCTGAAGCAAACTCTTTGTGCTTGGTATGATCACTTTCAGACTGCTGTTACTAAGCTTGGGCTTTATCCTTCTGCCCAGGACTCTGCTGTGTTTTTCCTCCACACCTCTGTTAGTTTTGTTGCCTTATTACTGTATGTGGATGATATGATTATTACTGGCTCTGATTCTTCTGCTATTTCTAAGGTCAAGGAGCATCTCATCCGCACCTTTGAAATGAAGGATTTGGGCCCATTTGGTATTTTCTTGGTATTGAGGTGACTTCTTCTCCCAATGGCTACTTTTTATCTTAGGCCAAGTATGCTAATAAAGTTATTCATCGTGCTTGTTTTGCTGACACTAAGATTGTTGATATCCCCATTGAACTTAATGTGAAACTTAATACTACTGATGGTGTTCCTCTGCTTGATCCTACTTTATATCGAGAGCTCGTGGGTTACTTAGTCTATCTGACGGTTACTCACCCTGATCTTGCCTATGCTGTTCATGTGGTTAGTTAGTTCATTTCTCCTCCTCGTTCTACACATTGGGCTGCTTTGGTTCAGATTCTTTACTCTTTTCGTGGTACTATCTTCCAAGGATTGCTGTTGTCCTTTACTTCTTCCTTGGCTTTAGTAGCCTGTGCTGATGTTGATTGGGCTGGTGATGTTACAGATCATAAGTCCACTTTTGGTTTCTGTATGTTTCTTGATGATTCCTTGATTTCTTGGAAAAGCAAGAAACAAACTGTTGTTACCCGTTTTATTGCCGAAGCTGAGTACCGTGTTATGACTCATGGTACTACTTCGTTGTCTGGCTTTGTTGTCTTCTCTCTGACTTGGGCATCTCTCAGTCTTCTTTGACCTCCCTTTATTGTGACAATCGTAGTGCTATTCAGATTGCCCATAACACCGTTTTCCATGAGTGAACAAAGCACATTGAGATTGATTGTCACTTTGTCCGTCAGCATCTACAATCTTGCCCTATCTCGCTTTCTTTCGTCTCTTCGCTTTGCAACTTGCTGACTTCTTTATCAAGACTCACACCATTGCTCGGTTTTAGTTTCTTCTTGGCAAACTCTCAGTGTTTTCTATTAAATACCTTGAGTTTGAGCACAGTTGTGAGAATATTAGGTTAGGTTTATGTATATGTTAGTGTATATTGTGTATATATATATGCCAATGTTTCCTTTCCTATATGGCAGTGGCTGTGTTTCCTTTCCCTTTTTTAGTCTTAGGGTTAGGATTACTGTATAATCAGATGTATTCTTGTATTATGTGACAATTGAATATAGAGATTCATTCAGGAAACTTGCACTAATAGAAGGAAGTGTATGCAGCCCTTCTGTACCAGTTAATTGTTTTGTTGCTTGCAGTTACCAGGAGTTAAACAATGGGGATTTCCCACCTCTCTCTCTCACATACAAGGAAGTTGGTGGGTCTTACTACATTGTGAGGGAAATTTTCCGAAAGATAATCCAAGAAAATAGGGTGTTGGGTCCTGCAAAGTTTATGCCAAAAGAGCAGAGCCCTGATAGATTCTTCAAACAGCATCAATTGGGATCGGTTTTCATTGAACCGGAAACTGATTTATTGCTATCAAATAAATCTCGTGTTGTAACTCATATTTTACGCAGTCATCATCAGGGTACAAGTGAAGAACTGGTTTTAAATTCTAGTGTGCAGTGTCCTGAACCTGAACATGAGAGATTTGATGAATGGAAAATTATAAATGGGTATAGTCAAGCAGTTGAAAAGAATGAAGAATATGATAAAGCAGTATATAGAGAGTCTCAAGCTAGAGAAAGTTTGGAACTGGAGGAAAATGTAGTGGAACTACAAGGATCTAAAGTTGAAGTAACCCATGTAGCAGCAGACACAATGGTAGAGACGTTACCATTAACGTCTGGTTCTAGGATAACTTGTGGCTTGGATGAAAAATCTATTGAACACAGTGAAGTGACTGGAACTTTGGTAGAAGAAATTGAAAAGTTGGAAATGGAAACAGGCAACAATTCTGTAGTGGGCAAGCTAAACTTTCCAGAGAGCTCTTGTGATTTGGGCAATAAAAAAGATGAGGCAATCCTTGCAGGTTCGTTATTGGAAAACTCAAATGGCTCTACAACCAAAGAAAGCAGTACTCTTGGTACCAACGATGGCACAGACCCTGAAGTTAAATATGCCTCACCTGCTGGAATTAGGGTAAGTTTTATTTCCCCTTTTTTGTTATATATATCTATAGAGAGTAAATTCCTATAGCATTGTCTGGCATATGTTCTTGTCTCTATTTTGATTTGCTCATCGTTTTTTTTTTTTTTTTTTTTTTCTTTTCTTTTATTTTGATGCTGATGTAGATTAATATGTTCACCAATTCTTTTAGCATATACTATTTATCTATTATTTACAAAGTTTCTTTTGCCTTGGGTGTCTTTCCTTCATTTCTTTCAAATTTATATGTTTTGAGTGGCCCTGTCATAGTTAAAACTGTAATTCTATCTCAACTTGGTCACAGTTTTAACTTGATTCTTGCTCTAAATCACAGAATTGTGGTTCTAGTGTATGCACTATTATGTGAGAATTTCATTACCTGTTGCTTTTTCCTTATAACGTTCAAGGGGCAGAAGTTTTGATCGGTAGCGTTTCTTGTGCTTTTGCAGGCCACAGATGCCTCAGAGAGCATTCTTGACTTGAATCTGAATGACACTAATCCAAGCAGTTCCAGTGAGAAGTCAATTTCTGCGAACGCAATAGATGGTCAAAATAACTCCAACATGTAAGCATCTCTTTTAACCCCAACTTTAATGTTGCGTTTGGGTATGTGGATTTAGATTCGAAATCTATGAATTTCAAATACTTGGGTATTTCAAATCTACTGGTTTTTAAATCCTTTGTTTGGATGAAATAGTGGTCAGATTTAAAATTGGTAAAATTATGTCATTCTCATCAGAATCTCTCCATATTGCAAGAATCGAGGCTATGGGGTGATTTTAGAATCCTTTAAAAATGGGTCCAAAATCTTTTGTGGATTTAACCTGGATTTGAAATCCATATAAGCACAAGTGATTGAAACAGGAGCTGTGAATTCAAGTCCAGTATTTGAAATCTTATTGGCTCAAATCCTGGAATCCAAATGTAACCTAAGATCTGTAGCGTGTGGATTCAGAAGCTGATGAATTTGTGGAATTCGAAATCTATACAGTTCTTTAGTGATCGATAATTTGCTTTGATTTGTGTCTTTGGGCAGTGAATCATGGGAAACGTCATCAGAGAAATCTGCTAAGCCGGAAATGAATCCACTTTCAGCCTTCTTCAAGTCATCGGTTGCTGCATTTGTGAAATTTTGGTCCAAGTGAGCTTTCTCTTTTTTATTTGTCTCTCTTTTAGGAGTTGAAGAAGAGTTCTATACCTATAGCAGCAGTGTTTTTGCATATATTAGAGAAGGTTGTCCCAATCCTAATATTATTGTAGAGAATATTTGTAGCAACTGTGATGGTATACTGTCGGATAGGTCTCCTAATTTAACTGGAAAAAAGAATTGATGGTCAAGCACACAATATTAATCTGTGTTACTGAGTATCAGAGGTGTGTATGGATCAGTTTAGTTCATGTAAATTCAGAATTGAATTAATCTGAGTTTTTGGCAAGATTTTGGTTTGGTTTGGTTTGGTTTGGTTTGGTTTTTTTTTTTTTTTTCCACTAAAAGACGGTTTTTTCAAAGCCAAAAAAAATAAATACGAATAAAATATTACATCCAATTCCATAATCATTTCACTTTTTCTCTCACAAACATCACATCAAATCACAAAAAAATCTAACTATTTTCCCAAACACCAAAAAAATTTTATCTAATAATATCCTACAACTAAAAAAACTTACATAAAAATCTACTTCTCAAAAACTCACTTGGATTGGGTTGGTTTGGTTTTTTTTTTTGGGTAAGTAAGTCATAAAATAAAGACAGTAAAATGTACAAGTTTACAAGGGGCATACCCCAGGTACGGCCTACAACAAAAAGAAAAAAAAACCACACTCATAAAAGCGAAAGAACAACAGAAAAAAATAAAAATCCCACTTTGCCCATATATCCTTTTTGTCCCCAAGTAACCCCTACCACCAGAGATAATAGATGGAAACTTGGGGTGGATATATGGGCAAATAAACAGAAACACCACAAACTCAGAAAACAAAACAGACAAATACACAATACAAATGTAACTAACCAAACACCCAGCAAGACCAATCGAAAAATGATAACTGCCCTCGCTTGCTCCCAGTCTCTACCTCGGATGAAAGCATGGAATCCAATAAGCATCACGCTTCTCATAGCCGTGACATCCTAGCCACTCAAGTGAAAGCATGGTTTTGAACCGCGGTTCCACCATGTTTACATAAGTGAATCATTATTTTATAAAACACAATCTCAGTTTCAATCCTACATCATCAATTTTTTTAAAAATAAATTAATAGTAATAAATAAGTGCAATAAACAAGTATTGAACATTGTACTGGTACACAAAGAAAACATTTTTGTAATTTAAAGGAATATAATGAATGCATAATATAGATAGTGAACACTTAAATTTAGATACAAAATAATATATAGCAGTGAAGAATGCATATATGTATACCTTAAGATCATGTTTAATTTACAAGACTAATTGTGAGGTATTAATAATTCTATCAAATTAGTGTGGTATTCACTATCTAATTGGATTAATAGGATAAATTATCCATTGGATAAATAATTCCATCCCTATCTCATTATTAATAATCTTACAAATTTGTTGGATTAATTATTCATTGGATTAATAATCCTAAATCAAAATGTTAAAACAAACGTACGATAATTGGATTCGCGGATTAATAATTTCAATCCCATACTTTAATCCATACAATCAAACATGCCCTAAAAATCTTGTTTTCTTCTGTACATGGGGTGGCACACCTACTCCCGCTGATGTTGTTTATGATTTTATTCTTATTCTTTTTTTATTTTTAGTTTTCAGTCTCACTCACCAAACCAAATATTTGGATAAAATTTTTAAAAACAGAGCAACCATCCGTTTCTTATTTTCTTCTTTCGGCTACTGTATAAATGCTTTGAAGTTTAATCTAATTTAAGGGTACATTTGGTAAGATGAAAAGGAGTGAGAATAGAATATGAAGTTGAATGAAATAAAATTTTCATTATATCGATTGTTTGCTAATTTGGAATGACATGGAGAGAATAAAGGTGAGAGAGAGAGAAATGAAAAAGGGAAAAGGATGAGTGACCTTTACTCAACTAACTTTCATCTCAAGAAAAGTGAGGATTAGTTGGATGATCTTCTTTCTACTTTTTCTTGTTTTTTTTCTTGTGTTTTGGGGGCGGTGGGAATAATTTTGGATTCATAGTTTGGTGTTTTTAAATGATAAATAGTGTGGCTAGGGGTTGGGATTGGATTAAAAAATCTTACATAATTATTTTCTGGGATAACAAATTTTGAAAAGTCTTTTATTCCGTATATATGAAACAAAGATAATACTTTTGTTCCAAAATTTTAAAAACGTCATTTTCAAAAGTTGTCTCAAGATTATATATTTTCAAATTATAGTCGTGAGATAACATACCTATCTTAATGTTGTTAATAAATCAAACATGGCATGTAGGCAAGAATTAGGAGCACTTACGTGTAAATCATAATATGTAGACTTATTGTTTAATAGATCTTATGATAATTAATGACAAATTTTATCAAATACTATTAAAAAAGTCATTAATTGTTAATTTTTAATGAGTTTTAAAATTGTCACAAAAAATATAAATTTTAGTGACAGTTTAAAAAAATCGTCACAAAAAAGTCACTAATTTTCAACTTTCAATGACAGTTTAAAAAATTTATCATAAAAAAATCATTAATTGTAAGTTTTAGCGACAATTTATAAAAATCGTTAACAAAAAAAAAATCACTAATTGTCAAATTTTAGTGACATATGCAAAAAATTATCAATTTTTAAAATAAATTATTTTTAGTGACGATTTTATAAAGACTTATTTTCAATAGAATTTGATAGAAATTAAGTCTAACTATTAGGACCTGCTGATAGTTTACCATAAGAAACTAACTAATAAGGGTGTGTTTGATAAGTTAATTCAACACTTAAAACTGAATGTATTAAGTAATAATTAATCAAACTCGTTTGATAATTACAATTGACATGACGTAAAAATTTAAGTATCTCTTAAAAATAAAGCTAAAATTTAAGAAAACTTTACATCATAATAAACTTACTTAATTTTGACTAAATTTATAAATACTAAACATAACCATTGATATACACTATCATAAACTCACCACCTCACCAGTATCATCATGTTACTGACACCACCACCACTACCATTACCACCACAATCGCTACTACCACCGCCGTCATGACTATGGCTAATCTTATCACTACTACCACCACCACCACCATCATCATCACTACCGTTACTACCACCATTATGTCACCACAACCACCACCATCATGCCAACGCACCACTACCACCACCATCGTTACCATTACCACCACCACCCTGACGCCATAGCCACTACTACCATTGCCGCCACCATCACTACTGCCGCCACCACTACCACCACCACCTTCATCACCATTATTGTTGTTGCCATACGTACCACTATCATTTTACTACCGCTACCACCACCGCCACCATCAACATTACCGCTACTACCACCACCACCATGCTACCGCCACCACTACCACCACCACCATTACAATATAAAAATTGAAAATAATAAATTTCAAATTTGATTTTATAAATATCAAATAACTTATTTTTAGTTTAACATTTAAATTTTTATCAAATAATTTTTCAACTTAAAAAATTTAATATTCAATTTTTAATACTTAATTTTCAATCTTTAATTTTTAATTTTTAATTTTATCAACCACCTCCTGAGTGAATCCCCAGATTTAAATTTCACATGAGGATCTTAAATGGCTGCAATTAGTAAGTGCTATATATTGCTTTTTTAATTTTTAATTTTAAATTTTAAATTTTAAATTTTATCAACCACTTCCTGAGTGAATCCCTACATTTTTTTTTTCACATGAGGATCTTAAATGGCTGCAATTGGTAAGTGCTATATATTGCTTTTTCATGTGTATGTATTGCTCACAACATAAGTAGTTAAACAACTTTTATCGACTATTGGTAATTTCATTAAAGAATAGTAACATTTTTATTTTTTTATTTTTATCCTTTTCAACAACTTTCAATGGAGTTAGGTATCACCTATTGCTTTGATCCCAAATGTTCCGTAGGGGTTGCGGGTACAGTCCTTACACTTAACTTCCCTTTTTTTTTTTTTTTTTTTTACAGCTATACAATATATTTTTTGTATTTTAATTATGTGCACGTAGTATTTTTAGAATAAATTGGATACTGATAAAAAATTTAAAAAACGCAGAAATCAATTACAGAATTAGACATAACCTTCATATGAGATGAAAATTTTATCTGATTTTATAATTAATTTCTGCCGAAGTAAAAGAGTCGTTAAGCTGTGACCATAATTTGATTTGCTATAAATGGGATTGGACATTTGCAAAACTAACCTCTACACCCAATAACTACCCCTACACAAAATGCATATCTACCACATGAAAATCAATATAATTGCACCAAATAAAAGGAGGTAAGGTAGAGAAGAGGAGAGACCATTGTTAGTCAGTGAGTCAGCAAAAGCAAGCAAGCAAGAGCAATAATAAAATCACCAGCCTTTAGAGAGAAGTTTGCCAACTTTTTGCTGTCTGGTTAGTGAAGCATGCCTACATTGGTAGAGGCGTATATGATTAATGCTGCCCCATTCCTATTTTGAGCCCATAATATCTACCCTTTTTTTATTAATAAAAAATTATAGGTAAGGTTAGGGATACCAAATTTTTTATCAAATAAATGATCAAATGTCTCATATTTGATTATTTATTTGATAAAAAATTTAAAACTTATAGTATTTTCCAAATAGGAAAATGAGTTGGACCCCCTCAAGGAAGCATCCCCTTTGACCCCCTCTCTCTTTGATTGGTCAATTTTTCTTTTTTCTTTTTCTTTTTTTCCTTCTCCTCCAATCACCACCCGCCACGTGTGTGTGGGGTGGTGGCAACAATGATTCATCCCACTAAAAACACCATCACTAATAGCACTAATGCATTAATAAAGTAAAAAAAAAAAAAAAAAAACAAAACTAATACTCCAAGACCAAAACATTACATCATTAATGACGGGACCCACTGCCACCTAATTAGTGGGAGCACTAATTAGTGCTCCCAAGCATTTTTCGGGGTGGTGGGGGTGGTGATTGGAGGGGTCTCAATCACTTTCCTTTCCAAAAATTATATATACCGAATTCAGATGGAGTTTGATGCAAAGTTGAAGTTAATGAAGGGAGAGTTTTAATGTAACTGTCATTAGAGTTGTTAAGGTGGTAATGTTGCAAGTTTCCTATTTATAAAAAATGACTTCTTTTGGAAAGTGATTTATAAGTCAATTTATTGACTTTTTAGTTTATTTGAATCATATCATCTCTCTGTTTTTTGTACGTCTTTGCGTAATAAGTAGAAAAACTAAGTCACTTTCCAAAACAATCCTAATAAGTTTTTA